TCAGGATAGCTAGCTCATTTTGACCCTGGTTAACAAGCTTCCCTTGGAACTCTTGACTCAGACTATAGCATGTACTGGCAGGCATTCTCTTTCAAAATGCCCTTTCCTTAACCCCCTTTCCTAGTGAGAAGTCTTCAAAGTGAGGCAGGGGGAAGACGATGAAAGAAGAAGGATTATATACTGAGAGAAGGGAAGACCAGGTAAAGAAAATTGCCATGTCCAGGCTGCTCAATACAACTTATACAAAGATCTTTATTTCTGCTACACTATGGAGGTTGTATAGCATCAACTGGGTATTAGGTTCCACAGCTGTGTTTCTAGCACCTAATTTAGCACCGAGCACATAAAAAGCAAAAAAAGTATTTGTTTTTACTCATGCACTGAACAAGTGAGTAAATCTGGGTGTTAATTTTTTTTTTTTTTTTTTTTTTTACTATTACCAGCTTACTCATCCAAGAAAGGTTATATAGGCTTTGCTCCTATTTTCAGAGAACCAAAAAATTCAGCTTCACTCTTCACAGAGATAAAATTTGTAGAGAAAAAAAAAGGTCCCAAGTTTGATGTATTTCAAGAAATAGAAAATGTCAAAAATGAGGCTGAGAAACAGGGAAGTATTAAGGATTATAAAAAGTCAGTAACTTTTTTTGTTGTTGTTGCTTTTTTGTGACAGGGTCTTGCTATGCAGTTCAGGCTAGCCTTGAGCTCACTTTGTAGCCCAGGCTGGTCTTGAACTTACAATGATCCTCAGCCTCCCCACTCCAGCACTGGGGTTATAGGATGCTGGGATTATAGGTGTGCTCCACCACACCCAGCAAGTCAGTAACTTTAGGCTCTGAACTGGTGAAATGTCTTGAAAGACTTAACTGAACCCTCAAGGTACATAAATTTACAAATATGTGTTAAACTAAACACTGTAAAGGAATCACGTAATCTAACTTACATTTTCTGCCATACTTCTAGTTACTTTACTGTGAGAAAACAGAAAATGTCTCTAAAACTACACGACACTAAAACCAGAGATGCAAATAATATATCATTTCATATAAAGTCACCTGACCATTCTTAGATTTTGTTATTCTTGGGATCTGGAACGAAACCCACACAGGTATGACTGTATTTAGGAGGACAAAACACTAAACCAATGCTACTTTACTGCTCATGACAAGAACCATTTACAGAGCACTGCAAAGAAGACAAGGTTTTTAAATTATTCAAACTAACAAACTGTTGAAAAATAGATCCTCTCATCCATATAAGAAAATGATGAACAAGTATTCATTTTGGGCTATAAGATATGCAAGGACACCAATATTCTAAAAAAATAGATCAGGAAGATGATTTGCCTCAGCAACTACCTCAAGAATTGTATATTTCACTCTATATCCCAGGACATAAAAACTGGCATTACTGTGGCACTTTACACAACACACCAAGACAAAATACACACCAATTACTAACTTCTATACTATTTTTTTAGTTCTTCAGTTCTCACTGTTTTAGTTCAGGCTGGCCTTGAACTCACTATGTAATCCAGGCTGACCTCAACCTCCTGGGATCCTCCAGCCTCAGCCTCCCAACTGCTAGGATTACAGATGTGTGTCACCACACCCATCTATCCAATTTTAGTAGTAAAAGAATAGAGCAGTTTGGTCCTTGACCTCTTCAAAGATTAGAAAGAAAGGTCAAAAGTAGTAAACCAAAAATCAGGAACTCTAACAAGATTTGCTTCTCTCTTGGTAGCACCTGATTCCAGAACCATAGAACTAAAAGATAAACCTCTCAGGGCATTTTAGACTTCTGATTGGCTGAGGTCAGCACATATAAACTATATTTCAAATTTTTTTCTTTTAAGGAGAGCTTAGACCAGTTAGTATTAAGAAATCTACTTTTCCGTAGAAAAACGCATCTATTTTATTAAAGACCACAAAAGGTTTGTCTCAACTGTATCAAATAAAGTCAGTATTTTCTCAATATCTTTCTATATTTCAAAGTCCTAGGTATATAAAAAGTAAATCTTTTTTGGGGGGCACATACTGAGGATTGAACCCAGGATCTTTATACTGAACTACATCCCCAGCTCTTCAAAAAAAATTTTTTTTAAAAAGAACTTTGAGGAGCTGGGGATATAGCACAAGCGCCTGCCTGGCAAGCGCAAGGTCCTGAGTTCGATTCCCGGTACCAAAAAACAAAACAAAACTTTGAGATAGAGTCTCCCTAGTTGCCCAGCTCAGCCTCCCAGAGCGCTAGGTTTTTATTTTGTTTTTGTATGTGTGTATTGCTGACACTGAACCCCGGGCCTCATGAGGGCTCACACCACTGAACTACATCTCCAGACCTTTTCACTTTTAACCCTAACAGGAAAAAATCAATTTACTTTTCTGTCAGGTCCCAATTTAGGTAAGCAAAGGCTGAAGAAAGGGAAACTTAAATCATTCCAGAAAGCAAAGCAAAGGAACCAGCCAGTCTACCACAGCAAGAAAAAGCCTGACATTAGGACTTGTTTTTACTGTCTCCACAATATTAACAGACTCAATGAAAAGAGCAATGACTCCACTTTCCGATCCGGATTTTAATCTACAGATCTACAAGTAGATGGCAGATTTTTAACTGGAAAATAGTTAAGGGACGGTTTAAATGCCAAGCTTACACAGTTTTTAGGATAGTCCAAATGCTCATACTTGAACACTCAAATCTAAACTCTTGTGGCAAACTCCTGTCCCCAACCAAACCTGGTGTGCAACAAAACGTGTGGGGACATACAGTACTATCACTTTAGGCCACAGGAGAAATCGCAATTTATCAAGTCAGAGAGAAAATCTCAACAGAGGAAAAGCTTACCATTCTCCAAGAAAAGAGACGTTCTTTCCCGGACAGAAGAGTAAATCACATGACAAACTCCTGCTCTAATCAGCTCTAGGAAGAAGGAAAAACCTCCAACACCTAAGTCAACTAACAGGATTCCCAGCGAGGCTGTCCTTGGGCTAGAATCACCGTGAGGAACAAGCCCACCAGTCTCACTCTGTGAGCAGGAGTCCCCACCCCGACTGAGACAACTTAATGGTAGTTAAACCTTCCCCATCTCCTCTTCCTGCACTGCTCAGAATATGCCCTTCCTGACTTCACCAACTCACTTGCTCGGAGACTGTGCAACACAGAATCTGTCAGACTTAACATGCTAAGCAGAACCCGAAGAAGCGCTCTCACGGCAGCTCTCTATTCGAGGGACCCTGCCTCGCTCGTACTGAAGGCGGACACTAATGGTGGATCACTGAGTGTTCCTCTGCGACCTCCAGCGCAAGGGGGCGGGGGCGGGGAACCCCAGACGCCGAGAGAGGTCGGACGGGGACCAGGGTCAGCGAGCCCACTACCGTGGACTACTTTTGGTTGACAAATTAAGTCCACCGCTGGGGCAAGGGTTCAGCGAAAAGTCTCACGCGTCACAGGGCCGGTAGGAGCCAAGCTTGCCCAGAAAGCCTCAGAAAATGAAACCAAATCTAATTAAAATGGACATTTCAAAACAACAAGAGTCACAGCAGCAGAACGCACAGCTGCCATTTCCCGGCCACTTCCTGCGGGAGGCTGGGGGAGGGGCCGTCCGTGTACAGATGGAGGTGGGCGCCGCCCCCGCCCCCAAAGGACACAAGCCCCCACTCCGAGAAGGCCCTACAAAAGACGCCTGCTACTGCGCTGCCTTCCCCCGAAAGCTGGGGACACCGGAAAAGAAAGCGAGGACGCGCGGTCGCCTTTCCTTCCGCGGAAACGGGGATCCCCTCAGCGAGGGATTTCCTTGGAAAGGGATCCCTCTTTATTCTCCCCCGGAAGCCAGCTCGAACCCGCACGCCGAGCGCCAGCCCCACCCGCCCGTCCGCGGAGCAGGGGCTTCTCCGCGACGCGGGGCCGAGCCCGGGCAGCGCCGA